TTGAAAAGTTTCAGAGTAATTTCATTTGTTAAGTCTCTACCCAGCTGAAGTTTTTTCTGTTCCTTTGCTGCTAGTTTGTCGGCTCCATTGCACAGATGCCAATGGACTATTCTTGCAACGTTGTTGTACCTTTCTTCCATTTCATCTAGTCGAAAACTATATGAGTCTGTAGACTATAGCAATAGCTGTAGCTTTCTTTCTATTTGTTCATATTACTGATTTTATTGTTAGTGCGTTCAATTGCATTGGTTAAATAGCTGATCCGATAGCACCAGTTATTAAATGAATACTGTTAAATTGTTCTCGTACTAGCCAAGTACTTGTAAACTCATTCTTGACGCTTCATGTGCTGGTGATCTGCAGTGGCTCTGTCATTTTGATTCCGTGCATTGTCAAAGGTTTGTTTTTACCAACTTCGTGTTTGCAATAATCCAAAGGTATTTGCAAAGTATTTTCTTTGCTTTGTTTTCATAATTTCTTGTATAAGTTGGGGTCATGTTAAGGTTGGTATTTTTTATTTCCTTCTAGTTTCCTGTACTTTAGAGAAGTACTGATAGAGTACTAACACAACGGCTTGAAGATTTCTGTAACGACACGAAAGTCCTGAACAACATGAGAGAAACAGTAATCAGTGTTGTTGAGAAAGAGGAGAATGTCATGCCGTTATTCCAACTGAATGGGTCTGAGGATTCCGAAGTCGAAATTCGCTCAGACTTGTACATTCATATTGCCATCCCACAGAGTGGGGAAAGGGGAGAGTGAAACTTGTTTTAGTCACGGTTTCTATTGCGGCACCCATTTCCCTCTAAGAAGCGTCGACGTTCGTACCTTGACAAAACTGCAAATTTCTGTTCGGAGCAGTGGTTGCGCATTGTTTAGAAAGTGCATAGTCTCAGCGTAAATCAGATTTTTCTCTCTTGAACATCAGATGTAGGGATCAGCTGCTCGTTGATGTTGCTGCAGTTATACATAAGAATTTTCAAGAGTTATAGGTATACTTTCCAAATGCTCATATTTCCGTTGTATGGCAGAGCATCTGTAAAAAAGTTC